CGACTACATTAGGCACGAAGTCGACTAAGGGATCTAAGGTACAGACATAGGGGATCTCATCAGAGAAGGGGATTGTGATTTTGACAGCCAAGATTTTACCTTTGCAAATCTTTTTTTTTTTCTAAGTATGATATTTATTTTCTCATGTTATACCAACATTCTTTTTATTATATGTGAAAAATAAAATCCATTGTTGATTAGAAAATGTTTCAGAAAACATTTTATAAACCAAACCCAGCTTCAGAATGTTAGGAGGATTTAGCATGTCTCATTTTGGCAACTGTACTGCTACAAGGATGAAACAGATGGAATGTACAGGATTTTGTATGCGTGTGTGTGAATTTAAGATCTTCCCACACTCTAGGATTTGTCTATAACTCCAAAGGCTCTGAAAATTTCTGAAATTGATCTTTGAAGCAAATGAATTAATACAAATTGCCTACTGAGTCTCATTTCTGAATACGCTGTTAAAGGAGCCACTGTAAGTACCTCTGGTTTAAATAAGACTCATTATCAAATTTCAATAGGGAATCCTCATTCCCTTATCTTTTAGTTATATCCAGTCTCTCACGTGGTTTATCATATTTTTGGTACTTAACAATATTCTTCCTTCCTTCATTTTCTATAAGAGATATCTATATCTATATAAGATAGAGTAGCCTATTAAATAAAATGTTCAGTTGTTTCCAATATCATGTAACGTGCTCCTTTAGGAGCAAGCTACAGATGCCGACTCTGGCTACAAGAAATAAAGAGACTTTCTAGGAAGGATTATGATATGTTTCACTGATCAACTGAAGGGGCTACACTATCCAGCTTCTAGAAGCAGGACCAGGGAAGTGCTGCAAAGCACCATAGTAGGATCTCACATGTTTTCTCTTTAAGATAATCAGCTCTAGCAACCATTAGCCTCTGTGTATCTTTATTCACATTTCAAGGTCCTGCTAGAATCTGTCCATTCTGCATCAGTTGGGTTCTTTATGCCAATGGTTCAGTAAATTCTGACTTAGGGGATTAGGGGTGGAGTGGCTGGGAGAATTATTTTGAACTAAGCAACAGCTACTTGTTCTCTATATCATAGGTTTTTTTTGTATTAGATGGACCTATTCAAATACCTTTGATTTAGCAGCGTATCAATTATGTCATATATATTACATACTTTTATTTGTTTACCCAAGAGCTCTATTTTGTGTTTGAGTTTGAGGCCATGTTTTGTCATGAGTATTGTGCATGTAAGTGGCTAGGTGGCAATTTTCTTTTCTTTTCTTTTTTTTAATTCATGGTGACAGAGTCTCATTCTGTCACCAAGGCTGGAGTGCAGTGGCGCGATCCCAGTTGCTCACTGCAGCCTCACCTCCTGGACATGGATCTTCCCATGTCAGCCTCCCTAGTAACTGGGACTATAGGTGTAGGCTACCATGCTATAGTTTTTTTTGGGGGGGGGGTAGAGTCAAGGTCTCACTATGTTGCCCAGGCTAGTCTTGAACTCTCCTGGGCTCAAGCGATCCTTCCGCCTTGGCATCTCAAAGTGCTGGGATTATAGGAGTGAGCCACTATGCCCAGCCCACTTTTTCCTTTTTTTGAGTTGGAGTCTCACTCTGTTGCCTAGGCTGGAATGCAGTGGCACACTCATGGCCACCCCAGCGTTGATCTGCAGGGCTCCAGTGATCCTTCCACCTTAGCCTTCCAAGTAGCTGGAACTACAGGCACGTGCTAACACATCCGGCTAATTTTTGATTTATTGTAGAGACGAGGTCTTGCTAAGTTGCCCGGGCTGGTCTCAAACCCACGAGCTCAGGCAATCCATTCACCTCAGCCTCCCAAAGTGCTGGGATTACAGGCTGAGCTACCAAGTCCAGCCCAGTTATCTATATTTCAACTTGGAATCTCTGCCCCATATTTTCGTTTGAATGTAGATGAAATTGTTGTGGAGGAAATCAGTGTTTCAGACTAATGGAACCTTGTTTTAAGGTAGGATTGGGTTGAATCCTCTCTTTTCTTTTCCCAATAAATTCTTCCCATTTCTGCACTCTAAACCGAGACGGTAGTTGCTTTTAAGAGTATCATCAGGCAGATGTGTATAGTGGTTTACAATCATCAGCTGTGAGGAGAGATGGTCCTGAGTTTATGTCTTGTTTCCTTGGTTTACTGAGGGTTAGCCATGACTAATTTTCTATCCTGTATAATTCTCAGTTACCAATGTGTATAAAATGAAGAAAACAACAGTATCTTTCTAATGAGGGTTTTTTGAAGGGTAAGTGGAATAACGCATTTTAAAAAAAGACAGTGTCTGGCTTATCAACCCTCAACACATTTTAGTTCTTATTATGGTTAAAATTTTTATTATGTATATGAGGAAATATATTGAAAATGTTTGTATCGTATATGTATCTATATATGTATATGTATAATGCTTGTATACAGAATAGAATTTGGATAATATTTAACCTTACCTTTAGACTCTTGAAACTATTGGAGCTATTTTGTTTTTTAGCTTGATGGATTATACCTTCCCTAGGACTGGGCAATTATTATGATGATTCTGTTTGTATTTAAAATATCTTTGTTGTGATTCAAAAGCAGTTTAAGGTTCATTTTATTTTAATGAGGTTAGAATAGACAAGGTATAATGACAACTTTGTAGCAATATTGAGACTTAATAAACAATGACTAGGATTTGTTTTGTCTGACTTGCTGTTATTGACATTTATTTTGAGTAAAAATGAATTTGTTTATACAAACACAGCAGCATAATCAATCCTTATGAGGTATTTCTTATATCAGTGTATTCTAATGTTTGTGAAGTGGCCTCCAATTGTGAAATTTTATTACTGTTAATAATTATTGCTATTATTAATTATTACTACTATTAAATGATTATTATTACTTAATAATCTTATTTAGTGATAGCCAAGGACTGTACTGAACTTATTGTTTACATTTTTTAAATTTTATTACCTCACAGAAGTTACTATTCTTCTGATTACACAGATTAGCAAATGGACTTTGAGAGGTAATTTACCCAAGGTCACACATCTAGGGAATGGCAAGATGGGCCTTGAGTGACTCCTATGCCCATTTATAGGGAGAGGAGAAAGCGTCTTTTGCAAAGATGTGATTCATGCTTGCAAGGGCGTCTTCACGGTGTTGCAAGTTCTCTTTTAGGCCGACTTTATCATGTGTAAATCCATGAACACGCTGACAAGAACTGTACTTGAAGAGTAAGGCCAGAGGTTTATTATTTTCCTCAATCTATGTTCGTTTGTTTTCTTATATAAGTAATGGATAATGCTTTTTGATATTTTAGAGATAGATATTTGTTTAATATTTTGTATATTTGGAACTGAAAAACATCCCCTGCTTTCCTGACAACCACAAAGTAAAAGAGCTAACCATGCACTTATGGCATTTTATTCTAAGAACTTTGACTACATTTGAAATTAGTATTAAAGCTATATAACTTGGTAGCATTAGAATCAGTGAAACAAAGTAAAATGTATTTTTTTTTAGGAGAGAACTCTGTTTTTCTGTAATTTACTGCTCTTCTTTCTTCTGATAGAAAAAAATGGAGTCATAATATTGTGCCTTATTAATATCAAATACAGCCATGTGTTGTTTAACAACGGGGATATGTTCTGAGAAATGGGTCACTAGATGATCTTGTCATTCTGCAAACATCATAGAGTGTCCTTAGACAAACCTAGGTGGTACAGCCTATTACATGTGTAGGGTACATATATAGCGTATTGCTCCCAGGCTACAGACTTGTACGGCATTTGACTATACTGAATACTGTAGGCAATTGGAACTCTGTATTTGTGTATCTAAATACAGCAAAGTTACAGCAAAAATGCCATATAAAGGATTTTAAAAATAGTCCATCTGCATGGGGCACTTACCATGAATGGAGCTTGCAGGACTGGAAGTTGCTCTGGGTGAGTCAGTGAGTGAATATGACATTACTGTCTACTACTGTAGGCTTTATAAATGCATACTTAGGCTACACTAAACTTACGAAAAGGAATTTTCTTCAGTAATAAATTGACCTTTGCTTATTGTAGCTTTTTTACTTTATAAGCTTTCTTTCTTTTTAAACTTTTTGATTCTTTTGTATTACACTTAGCTTAAAACGCAAACACACTGTGTAACTGTACAAAAACATTTTTTAATGTCCTTCTTCTATAAGTTTTTTGGTATTTTATTTGTTACTTTTTTGTTAAAAACTTAGACACAAACACACATTAGGTCTACACAGGGTCAAGATCATCAATATCACTGTCTTCCTCATCTATATCTTGTCCCACTGGAATGTTTTCAGGGGCAATAACATGAATGAAGCTGTCATCTCCTATGATAACAATGTCTTCTTCTAGAATACCTCCTTGAGAGACTTGTCTCAGGCTGTTTTACAATGAACTTTTGTTTTTATAAGTAAAAGCACTCCAAAATAATAAGCATAATACCATAAATACAAACCAGTAGCATACCCATTTATTATCAACTATTACGTACTACATATATACATATAATTGCATATAAATATAGTTACAGATATAAATATATATAAAAACTATATAGTTGACAGCACAGTAGGTGTGTTTATACCAGCATCACTATAAACATGTGAGTAATACACTGTGCTCTCACATTACAATGACTCTGATGTCACTAGGCAATAGCAATTTGTCAGCTCCATTATAATTTTAAGGAACTACCATCACATTTGAGGTCCCTCGTTTACTGAAATGTCTTTACATAGTGCTTGTCTGTATCCAAACCTTTTTAGGTTTAGGAAGAATAATTAATTTGTTAGAATGGTTAATACCCTTTTTATCCACCCTTTTTATGGATAACCCTTTTTGTCCACCCACATATGTGTTTTTTTCTAAATTTTACAACAGTTTTGTACTCTTATTCAGATATGTTGAATGACATTTAATGTATAGTGACATATGCATTTAGGATCTAACACTCTGCAATTTCTGCCTTTTCTCTTCTAGTGTCTGTCTTTATGCTAAAAGTGCAGGTGAATGACATCATCAGTCGCCAGTACCTGAGCCAAGCAGTCGTAGAAGTATTTGTAAACTACACGAAGACAAATTCCACAGTAACTAAAAACAATGGAGCAGTATTGATAAAAGTACCCTATAAATTAGGACTCAGTTTAACGATCATTGCTTACAAAGATGGCTATGTGTTGACTCCTTTGCCTTGGAAGACTGGAAGAATGCCAAGTAAGCATTTAAACAGTGTTTTGTATTAACTAAATATAAATTTTTTTTTTCTCTATTTTGAACTATCTTGTTCTGGTAAGCTGAAAACGAGAATGCCTAAGAGAAGTTAATGTAGGAGGTTAAAAAGGAGTGCCATTTTAAAGAAAATATTGTCTCAGTCTGTTTGTGCTGCTATATCAAAATACCATAAACTGGGTAGCTTAGAAACAACAGAAATGTATTTCTCACAGTTCTGGAGGATGTGAAGCCGAAGATCAAGGTGCTAACATATTCGGTGTCTTGTGAGGGCCTTCTTTCTGGTTTATAGATGGTACCTTCTCACTATACTCTCACATGAGAGAATGGACAAACAAGTTTCCCTTGGGTCCATTTTAAAAGGGCACTAATCCTATTTGTGAGAGCAGAGCCCTCATGACCTAATGACCTCCCCAAATGCCCTACTTCTTAATATCATCACCTTGGGGGTCAGGATTGCAACATATGAATTTTAGTGGGGGGAGGACATAAACATTCAAACCATAACAACCATGGAGGCATTTTTCCTTCTAAAGAGGCTTGAAGAAATCCTGAGCAGGAGCTCTGATCTGTAGGAAGCTTGTCTGCAGGTGGTGGTGGGGAATGGGCATGCCCAAAGGATTAGTGTGATGCAGGGTGGGCCAGGTAGCATGGTACCAGGTAATGAAAAGATGCTTTCAAAAGATGAGACAAGCAGGTTAGATTTATGTGTTAAATAATAAGGCCATTATTATAGATTCTTGAGCACAATGAACGTAGGTGGTTTGGAAACTGGGTTAATGTAATGGTGTATAATGTATAGGCCAGCCGTGGTGCTAAAATAGATTCTGGAATCCTGTCCAGGAAACTGCAGCAGTGCTTTTGGTGTAGGGTAACAGCCTGAAGCACAAGAGGGAAGAGAAAGGACAGAGTGAGTACAAGAGATACACTGAACAAAGAATCAGTAGGACTTAACTTGATTCACTGATTATTGGGAAGTGCATGCCATACAAGATGCTAGGATACAAGTCTGACTGACTGGAAAGGTGATGCATTAGGTAATCTGTCTTCCTTTTTTCTTATTATGGTGCCTCTTTTAGAATTTTGATATTTTATTTGGTTTCATATTGGAAAACTTTCAATTCTTGGACTACTTTAAATTTAGAATGAGAAATAAAATGAAAAATGAATTAACAAGATTCACATGAATCAAACTTTAATAAAGTCATAACTAGGAAATCAGGATAGGGATGTGTTTTAGGTAAATTTATCATTTAATTCTTTATTTCAAAAGGCAAAGAAATTAATCACAACTATTAATAAAGTTACAAAAATAAAGATGGAATCAAATAAAATGGGAGAAAGGAAAGAATTAAGATTAATATGGATTGGCATACACTGAAAAATATAAAAAAGAAATAATCAACAAAATGCTAGTTCTTTGAAATCAAAATTATACATACATTTGGCTAATCCAAACAACAAAAATGATGGAAATAAAGACAAGAGAAAGGAGAGAAATACATAAAAGCTTTAAAGAAGTCATAAAAATATTCTACACTAAGTTTGATGGCAGTGATCTTAAAAAGCTCAACAAAATGATATACAAATGACTATATTGGTATCAAATGATGTAGACCAATAGACATTGGATAGAATGTTCTAGGTACAATTGTTAAGATGTCCATCCTACCAAAGGCAATCTACAGATTCAACGCAATACCCATTAAGTTATCAACATCATTCTTCTCAGACCTGGAAACGACAATACAGAAATTCATATGGAAACATCAGCGACCATGAATAGCCAAAACAATCCTTAGCAAGAGAAACAAAGCAGGAGGTATCACACTTCCAGACTTCAAACTCTATTATAAAGCTACAGTAATCAAAACAGCCTGGTATTGGTATAAAAACAGGCACATAGACCAATGGAACAGGATAGAGATTCTGGAAACAAAACCTCAATTCCTCAACCAACTCATCTTTGACAAAACCTCCAACAACAATTACTGGGGAGAGGAAAACCTATTCAGTAAATGTTGCTGGGAAAACTGGCTGGCCACATGCAGAAACAGGACCCCTACCTATCACCATACACAAAAATTAACTCTAAATGGATCAAAGATCTAAACATAAAACCTCAAACTATAAGAAAGAAAATGCAGGAGACACCCTTATGGAAATTGGAACTGGGAACCAATTCCTATTTAGAACCCTAAATGCCCATAGCTTAAGAAATAAGGTAGACAAGTGGGACCTCATCAAACTAACGAGCTTCTGCAAAGCAAAAGAAACCATCAAGATAGCAAGGAGATAGCACACAGAATGGGAAAAAATATTTGCCAACTGTATATCTGACAAAGGCCTAACATCTAGGATCTACAAGAAACTCAAACGCATGGAAGGGAAAAAAACAAACAGTCCCTTTAAAAAGTGGGCAAAAGACATGAATAGACACTTCTCAAAAGAAGATATACAGGCAGCCAACAGACACATGAAAAAGTGCTCAGCCTCACTCATCATCAAAGAAATGCAAATCAAAACCACATTGAGATACCACCTAACCCCTGTAAGAATGGCCATCATTAATAAAACAAACAACAGATGCTGGCAAGGATGTGGAGAAAAAGAAACGCTTCTACACTGCTGGTGGGAATGCAAACTTTTACAACCTCTCTGGAAAACAATCTGGAGATTTCTGAAAGAACTAGAAATTGATCTTCTATTTGACCCAGCAATTCCCCTATTGGGAATATACCTGGAGGAACTCAAATTATTCTATAAAGAAGATACCTGCACACGAATGTTTATTGCAGCTCTATTCATGGTAACAAAAACATGGAACCAACCATGTTGCCCATCGAAGCTGGACTGGATTAAAAAAATGTAGTACATATACACAATGGAATATTATGCAGTCATAAAGAACGACAAATATATGGACTTTGCAGCATCCTGGATGGATTTGGAGTCAATCATACTCAGTGATTTACCACAGAAACAAAGAACAGAATTCCATATGTTCTCACTCATAAGAGGTCCTTGAACAATTATAATGCTATAAGAAAGCGATTGGCAGTAATGAGAAACTGTTGGGGAGCTGGTATTGGCAGTTGAGGGAAACTGCTAGGGGAGGGAGGGACATACCTCATTAACAGGGGTACCTGCATGATCAATGTTTGTATACCTAACCCTGAATTGTATCCCACATCTTTACATTAAAAATAAAAAATTAGCCGGGCTCGGTGGCTCAGCCTGTAATCCTGCGCCTTTGGGAGGCTGAGGTGAGTGGATTCCCTGAGCCTGCAGGTTCAAGACCTGCCTGGGCAGGCGAGACCTTATCTCTACAAGAAATAAAAAAAATTAGCCGGGCATGGTAGTACGCGTCTATAGTTCCAGCTACTTGGAAGGCTGAAGCAGAAGGATCACCAGAGCCCAGCAGGTCAAGGCTGCGGTGGCCGGGAGTGACCGCAGCACTCCAGTCTGGGTGACAGAGTGAGACTCCAACTCAAAAAAAATAAAAAAAAATAAAAAATAAAAAATTAATTAAATTAAATTTAAAAGTATTTGAAGTAAGCAAAAAAAGAGAATGTTCTAGGTACAAATAACCTGATTCAAAGATTATAAAAATGTCCTCCAAATTATTTTACATAACTAGTATAGCCTTGATTCTAAGATCTAAGAAAAGCAGTACAGATTTAAATGCCCTCGTGTGTACTTTCTGTCCTACACACACACACACACACACACACACACACACACAAAACCTCTATAGACAAATTTTACCTATAACTCTAAATGCAAAAATTCTAAAACAGAAGAATAAAAAGAATTTTACTATAATTTAATATAGCATTTTGTCAAGATCATGTAGAATTTTCCTTCTTTGCAGGATTCAAGGATGTCAAATATGTGTCAAACTCCATTAACTTTACATATCATAATAGAACAAATCATAAGTACTATGTAATAATATCAATAGTTGTCTGAAAGATACTTTTAAAATTACTATTATGCCTAATTATGAAGAAACTCTTTAAAAACCAGGAGAGCAAAAATATCTCTAAGATGGTAAGTATCTCACAAACATACTTAACTATAAAATATTAGAGGTGATCCTCCTCAAATAAGAAACTGGAACAAAAATATCCATATTCTTTTACATTGTAGAAGTTCTTTTTTCTTTTCTTTTCTTTTTTTTTTTTTTTTTTTGAGTTGGAGTCTCACTCTGTCGCCCAGACTGGAGTGCAGTGGGCCGCTCCCGGCCACCGCAGCCTGGACTCGCTGGGCTCCGGCGATCCTTCCGCCTCAGCCTTCCAAGTAGCCAGAATTACAGGCATGCACTATCAAGCCCAGCTGATTTTTTGATTTATTGTAGAGATGAGGTCTTGCTGCCCAGGCGGGTCTCGAACTCTCAGGCTCAGGCAATCCACTCACCTCAGCCTCCCAAAGGCACGGGATTACAGGCTGAGCCACCGAGTTCTTATCAGAGTAAAAAAATTAATAGACAAAATAGCTATTAGAATGAAAGATCAAAGCCATTATTATTTCCTGATAAGATTCTTTCCCTAGAAAACTACCAAACTCAATCTTAAAATTTGTAAAATTAATGGAATTTTAACAGGATTACAAAATTAGCATTAGCATTGGTACAAATCAATACATGTAGTTACACCAGCAGTGGTAGCCAGCTAGGGAAAAAACAAAAAGGAATCTGTCTTAGAACAAGAACAAACAAAATATAGAGGGAAACCCACCCACCCAAAGAAAGTAAGACAACTATGAGTGGGGAAACTAAAACTACCAAATGTTATTAGTAGACCTAAAAGAGAATAAATAAACTAAACCCCTGGATAACTGGAAAAAATGTATTTCTTCTTAGAAAGCCTTATTATAGTAAAGATTTCTAGTCTTCTCAATTTAATTTATAGAATTCACTTTTTAAAATTGGTAACATAATCCTTAATAAGTGTATAAAGATACCTGGAAATCTTTTTTAAATAGATCTACTGGGGGCAATTTACTATTACAGGCAACTAAAATATTATATAGCTCTAAAATCAAAAGTGGGTGATATTGTACTATAATTTGTATTGTGGCACTATAATTTGTATTGTGGCACTTACTATGTATACAGATGTAACCTATGATAAGGGGCTATTATAAATCATTGAGAAAAGGTTAGCTAGTTAACAAATGGTATTGAGATATTTTGGTTAACTATTTGGAATAAATTCATTGCAACCATATGCCAAAATATATTGCTCAGAGAGATCAAATGTGGAAAATAAAATCATATTAAATTATGATGACCTGTTTAAACTTCAAAGCAATAAAAAATGCCATAAAAGCTAGATATAACCTAATATTTTTAAAAATAAAAACAAATTTCCTTCTGTCAAAAATATAAAAAGCAACTGAGTTTGGAAAAATATTTGAAACAATAAGGTATGATATTATTAGTGTGCAAATAATAAATAAAAATTAGAAAGAAAATGCCAAGGCATTTACTAAATAAGGTAAATGGACAAAATCATGATCTAGCAATTTTCAAAACAGGAAATACAAATGATCAGTAAACATGGCAACCTGCTTTCTCTCCCTAATCTAAGATCTGCACACCAAAGAAATACAAACTTCTTAGATTTTTTTCACCTTAGAAAAGTTTTTAAAAAGTGACTGTTTTCAGTGTTGATAAAGCAAGATAGGATGAACATTCTCAGACATTGTTGAGGTTAGTACAGATGGGTAAAATTATCTGGGTAACAATTTTGAAATATGTGTGTCAAAGTGTTCAAAATTTTCATCAACTTTTACTCAGTTTTCCACTTCAAGGAATCTCTCCAAAAACAAAACTATCCAATAAACACAGTGGACAGGCATTCATGCACCAGAATGTTGATGCCAATAGTGAAATGGAAAACACTCTAAATCTGTGATATTCGCACAGAGAATAAGTAAATCTTGATACTTTAACAAATGAAATATGTGATGTAAAAAATGTTATGAAAAGTTTCTACTGACAGAAATGCTTATGTTATTAAATTAAAAAGCAGTGTAAAATATTCTATATACAATATCTTACTTGATATTTTTTAAAAATTGCAGGAAAAATCAATGAAGAGCTACACTAAAATATTAGTAGTAGTAATCTCTGTGGTGGTCTTGGAGGGGCCATCTTCTTCTTACTCTTTTTTGTATTCCTCAACTTTTCCACAGTGAGCTCATCCCTTTTGTGATAATAAAAAAATTATAAGTGAAAAAAAACTGAATTTAAGTTTTAGTGAGATTCAGAAAAGCATAATAGCCTTAAAAGCTGTTAGGGCTGTCCCTTTTAAGTCACCTGTGACTGAGAAAGTATCTAAATATAAGATAATACCCTGCTTATAATCATCTTGAGGTCCAAGCTATGACCCCACCACCTCTTTTCCAATTTAATATATCCATTAATCAGTCTAAATGTTAATGTACTCTGAAATTGAAATTACAATTTCATTTGGTAGTTCTCTTTTCCTGTGGATGGAAAAAAAAAGTACATTTCATTTTACTTCCCTCATCATTATATGCTTTTTTATTTTACCCCTTTTCCATATTTCCTCTAAAGCTTTTTGAAACATCTCAGAATGTTAAAAGTATTTCCATGCAAATGTGTTTTATCTTCTCTTATGAGGTTTGAGGATGCAGTGTTATTTCTGAAATTTTAAATATTTATATTGCATAGAGGAGAGATAGAAATGAAAACTTGTGCTTTGGGTAACTCCTCAAAATCTATTTTTCTTTTGCAGGATTGGTAAGTTTATTGGATTTATTTTTGCTTATAAAGTGGCCTTTTGTCCCAGCTTTTTGCTCCAGATCTTGAAATAGATTGTCCTGCAGGTGATCTGTATGTATTCCACTGGTTACGTCAGCTGCCTGCTCCTGCAGACAGGCTCACCTCCATCCTGCGTTACTACTGAAGGTTGCCTGTGAATCATTTTATGTGTTAGACTGTTATTTCCTTCTCTGCCAACTCAGAGTTCTTTTGGCAAACCATACTTTGTACAGAAAAGCATTGTGCTCCTATGTGCAAAGTTAAAAATGGAGAGTGGATGGTAGTTTCTATATAGAGAAGCTTGAATCATGGGGCCAAGAAAGATTTTTATAAAAATCTTGAGAAATAAATAACAAGTAACAATTATATAGAGAAAATATAGCAGAATGTTATTCAGGGATTTAACTTGATCATTTATATCTAGTGTTAGTTACAGAGCATCATTTATCATCTTGGTACAGACTACTATATGAAATAGACAAGATTAGTGAAATAAAATAGTGATGCTCAATATTTTGTTCTCACTTTATTGTGATCATTTTCCTCCATTATATTTTATACGTGATATTCCTTTGTTTTGAATTTCTCTTCCCATCACCTAGTTTGATTTTTTTCCTTTTTCCCACTCTTTGGGAATTGCTGTCACAGAACTATATTTGTCCTGTTTCCTCCTCATTTTAAATAAAATATTCTAATTGTGCTGTGTTTCACAGTATATTCATCGGTTACACTTTCACTGTTCCCGCAAAGCCAAGCAAATATATGGCTATTTGAAGACACTGTTTTAATTACTGGAAAATTAGCTGGTAAGTACTATATTTCTTACTAAGTAAACACAGTTGTTACCATGTATAACTGTACTTCTTCACCAAGACTCAATGTTAATTATAACTTGATCAGTGATGCTGAGTACTAATGATAAGTTGATCTGAACTAATTCTTATTTTACTTTTAAACTAATAGTATGAATTTTCTCACGTAGTAGAAATCAATTTTTCTTTTACTATTTTAGGCCCCCAAATAGGAACAGCTGACTTTTGGGAATATGGGAAGGGCCTTCTGTCCTTTTTAAATCATGTCTTTCACTGGGGTTTCGGTGGCAGCAAAGCTGGGGAAGAGCACATATTGCTCAGGCCTTTGGGGTCTCTAATTTGCAGATTACCTCCATTTCTGCCTCCTGCTTGGGATGGGCCCAAGGCTTGGTAGTTAAGGATCTGCTTGGCAGACATGATTTGCTCCCCTTGCATAGCCCAAGGGAAGAATGCAGAAAGTGTTATGTTGGGTGCTGATTCAAGCCATGTCCTTCACTTCTGCTTTACCAACTGTGAAGATGATAGTTTCAAATCTGCAGAATTCTGTGTCTCTTTTACAACATATTGTGTGAAACCTCTATGAATGACAACAATTTGTTTTCTTTTAAATTGGCGAATGAATGTTTAGGGCTAAAGCATAATAGGAATGACTTGGTAAAGTGAGGAAGTCCTCAAGGTAGATTCCAATAAGAGAGTCATGGTAAAAAGAACTGTTTGTGAAAGTTCTTTTCATTTTTCGATGCTATCTTATTTATTCCTAAAGAATTAAACCAGAAAACCTAATATTATTATTTGTGAAAAAAAATAAAATAAATGAGAGCTTGGTTAATCTTAGAGTAATTTACTAAGCAAAGCTGTAGAATCTCTTACTCCTGAAATGCCAAGGCATTTGCCAGTTTTGAGCCATTGGTTTGGCTGATGTGTGGCAGAATGGTGGACATGGAGATGTGTGTGAAAGGATGGAAACTTTCCTGTAGAAAAATATACATTCTCACTTCTTAACTTCCACAAAATGTTGGATCAGGAAAGTGTTCGGTTTGTACAATGAAAAATGTTAGTCCTGTGTATAAATGTATTGGTGATAAAAGGAGAAAGACATTGGAAACTGTAGAAATTTTACAGAAGCTTAGCTCAATATTTTGCTTAGTGTGCATGTTCTCATTTGTAAGAAATTTGGGTCTTTACATAAGCACACCACATATTTTAGAAGGCTAAGTTGTATAGAGTACCTGTAAGTGATTACAAGGCATCAAAGTGTACCCTCAAACAACTAGACAGGTGTGGGGGTCCAGCCCCTGCTGGGTCATGAGGTTTCCTGAAGGAGAGACAGATAGGCAAAAGACAGAAACAATATACTTGGACACCTGCTTGCTGAACAGGTGACAATTTAATGTTACCATTCTAAAGGGGCAAGACAAAGAAAATTCCTTCACGTACATATGCTTTAAAAGTTACCACCATCTAGCAGTGTAGAAGTGACAAACAAGCCAAGAACACTATCTACTTTTAGTTAATGAGTCTTTATCATAAAGCCAAAAATGATAGTTTTAGTTGAAAGTCCCGAATTACAGTCCTTGAAATGTCGCAAGAAAGTTTCCAGGTGCACAGTTCTCCATGAAGCAGGAGTTTTTCTCTTTTGGGCTTCTATGACCTTCAAAGCTTCGTAATCGCCTTTCTTGTCCAGGTGTCTTCATTAGTTTTCTCTTATCCTGCAGTGTTTATTTCTAAAGAAAACTCAAAAGAAGCTTTTAGTGATGTTTCCCAGGCCCCCACAGTTGCTTTCTGTATTTAGTTAATTTATCATAAAAGTATCTAATTAGTATATTATGAATTCAGTGAAAACCCACTCTATAAATGTTTACTCAAAATTTTAATATAGAATGAAGTAAAAACCTTAATGATTAATCTGTATCCTAAGTCCGTGAAAACAGTGTTATAAATCACCTACATAACTCCTAGATAAGTGTGAGAACTTATAATGAATTCATAATGAACTTACTATAAACTTGTGCTTCTAAAAAACCTTATGTCTAAACACTACACTACACAATTCTAAATCAAATAAGGAGTGAATATACTTATATCATTTATTACTCAAGCAATATCTAGTAACTTATAACCAAGTGAAAGAAAGCATTCTTGATGTGCTTCAGAGCTTAACCCCTGCATATGTTAGAAAAGGTCAAACGGCATAGTGGGAAATGGAAAAATGAACCATGACATTTCCAGGTTAGCTTTGAGTACTTCGCATAAACATGCCATTTTCTTCTTCCACGACTGCAAAGAATTTCTTCAGCCATACCAACAGCAAAGATGGAAGACAGAAGTGCCTCAGCTGCCTGGGCTCACTTTGTGGCCGGGGGTCCTCAGCGCACATGGACTTTGTCAGTCAGGCGGGCCTCCAAGGCTGTCTCCCAACAGACAGGAATATAATTGTCTTGCTTATCTGAAATATTTTCCATATATATTTTTCTAGCTTCACACAAAAAATAAAAGATAATTCTCAGTTTATAGTTGATAATTTATTGCCAAGCTACTCTTTAAAAATGAAAATTCTTTTGTCATTATAATATTTTTAGCTGATTGCTTGTTTTTATCAGTAATCTTACTGAAGTCCAAAGCAAAAACTGATGTTTTTGATAATTTTAAGTTTTAATGATTTAGGAGTTGACTTTGAATTGTTAAATAAAATAAGTTGATTACAGAAATATCAGCATTGTCACCGAGCTCTTGCTTGATAAATAATGGTAGAAGATAGTCAACTTAGTTATTGAGATAATATTTATAAATTGAGATATGTGGCAATTGATAGACTTTTAAAATCCTATCCACTTAAGTATGTGGATGAATATCAGAGACACTTCCTGTTGCAAGTTACTGAAAACCCAATCCTAACTAGCTTAAGCCCAAAGGAAGCATCTATTTCTCAAAATAAGACATGACTTGATCAGGACTTCAGTAGAAATAGTGGAAAACTGGTTTTTCTTCCTCCATTTCTTGACTCTACTCTTTGAATCTTGCCTTGATTTTTAAACAGGCTTCCATTTTTGGTCACAAGATGGCTATTGTCCTGGATATGTACCTGCTCACATAAATCCAGTGGGAGAAAAGCAACACCCCATGCCTGGAAGTCCAAACACAGCTCACATTACATTTTGTTAGTTTTGCTTGGGACAAGGCCCCATCATTGAACAAAGCGTTGAGGCCAAGAGAATGAGTTGGTTTTAAATGGTTTCAGTCCATTCTGGCATGCACCATCAACTCTACTCCTGTTATAGACAGGACACCCAAATGAACCACATGGGCTGAAAAATGGTCGGTATGAGGTTCTAGAGTGAAACCTAACAAAGGGTGAGAAAATTCTGGACAGCAGAATCAGGAAATACAAAGTTACATTGTATAATCTAAAGAAAGTGAAATTTCTTATTTAGTTAGCTTTGATTTTAAAATAATAATTATATGAAATGTTAGTGATGTGGCAATTGATAGACATAATTGGCAATTGATAGAAATAATTATAACTGCATCTTCTAAAGTAAAATGCCCTGACCAGTGATGCTGTGCTTAACATCCATTTATGTTTGCTAATGGGGTTTCCTTTTTCCAGATGCCAAATCTCAGCCAAGTGTTCAGTTTTCAAAAGCCTTAATTAAACTTCCTGATAACCATCATATTAGCAATGTTACCGGCTATCTTACAGTTCTGCAACAGTTTTTGAAAGTGGACAATTTTCTGTATACAACTGGAATTACTCTCAATAAACCAGGTATTATCTAATTTTTGCATAATGTAATCATACTTATAAGAAACATTATATCATTAAATCTTTCAAATATTATTTATTTAGATATTTAGATGGATCTTAGATAATGTTCATTTAAGCTTTGGAGAATACGTGTCACTTTTGACATATAAATGTAGTATTTGAATGTTTGTGAACAATTAATTTTATCCAATGAAAGATTATACTAGTCTTCAAATATATTACTTCAAATTAATAGACATTTCATTTGATTTCACTTAAATTCATTAATTTTATCTGATCCAAAGCAGGTAAGCAAAGAACAGAAAATAGTTATACTTATTGTCTAACTTTGCAAATTGAAACATACTTTTAAAAATCAAAACTTGATTTAAATTTTATACAGATCTTTTTATAACTTGAGCTTGTATTCATTCTTATCAAACTGATGAGAATTGTCAATGATTGAGATATAAAAAAACCTTAAGTTTAGGACAAGCTATTATAAGTTTATTTTGACATATGTTTGCTGTTCTTTATGAGTAAAATATAAAAATCGAAAATATATGTATTCCAGAGTCAACAGCCCTGATATGTTTATATAAGACTTTTCTGATATAAAAATTAAGGGAATGATGGAATTTCACATTTATTTAAAAATATATTCATGAATAACCCCCTTAGAAACACTGTTTCAACTATACATCTAACTGACTGTACTAAATAGTTTGATACATTATAGTTACTTAAATTATACAACACTTGATCTGTGCAACACTGGATTACTTACCATTTTTACCACTGGTTGCAACATAACTGAAACTCTGTTTAATCAGTCTATAATGTTGATGATTGTAATTGTGTTAAAACTTTGCTTCATTTCATTTAGGAAACAGACAGGAAGGAGGGTAATAAGAGCTAATAAGTGTTTTGGTTAGACCAGTTCCCGCCCCCCCAACCTGTTGTAGCAATGTCGCAGCCAGAGGATCCTCACTCTTCTGTATCAGTGTCCTAGATTGAGGACCCTCACTCTTCTCTTACAAACGTGTTTCCTACTATACACATCTGTGTCTGTCTGAGGGCATTCCCTTTCTAGGAAGCAGGCTCCACCCTTTCATGAGGCAAGCTGTCAACCAATGACAGACAGGAGTTGGTGGTAGGGCAACTTTGAACTGGGTTCTGTCCCCATGGGACTGAGCTGGAGTTGCCACAGTGATCACCTGCTCATTGGCACATCCTGTGTTGGCTCTCTTTCTCTCTGTTATGCTCCATCTCTAGTGGGAGATGTTTCCTGGGATTATCTTCCAAATAAACCACTTGTACTAAAATTGTTATCTCAGGGGCTGCTTCTTGAGGAAGCCACTCTGAGACACCTGCCAAGATTTTCCAGATGTAAATTTTATAAGGATACTTAAAATGAAAGTATTTACAAGAATGGTGTCAGTACATGCAATGACAAATAACGCGCATGTTGCGCTGGAGGGTGTTCATGGACAAGACTTACTAGATTCATGAGCTCTGCCCCTCAACATTCCTCTACTACCTGCTTTTGAGAGTATTCCTTACATGTTTTGATGGTGCCAAGAATGCTGCTATTGTTTAAAAAAAAGTTCTAGAGCAGTGCTGAAATGGAAATATTCTCTGCCCAACATGGTAGCCGCTTGCCATCTGTGGCTGCTGAGCTCTGGAAATATGATTAGTGCACCAAGAAAGTTAATTTATATTTAAATAATCACATGCAGCTGGTGGCCATGCTATTGGATTACACAGTTCTAGAGTTATATGAATACAAAACTGTTTTAAAATAAAAACTGTTTTCTCCTTCTCATTGTCTTTTAATCTTTTTTCCCTTTGTCTCCTTCTTTTTTGCCTTCTTTGAGTTGTCTTTACTTCAGATGAAGGGATGTCAGTCTCAGCAGTTTGTGAAGCCACTAACTGCGAAGAACTGAGGGTTGAGATTGAAGCAGGCACTACAGAAAACCAGCCAACTGGCTGAACCAAATAGCTCACTATATTATAGTTACTTAAATTATATAACACTTGATCTGTGTTTACATTGGGTTGCTTACCAGTGTATTATTCTCTAAAATATGTATGGCATTACTTTGCTCATCTGATGTTAGTGCTTCAGGTAATTTGCTAATTGTTTTACATTTAACTGAAAGTTTTCAGGAAACCAGTAGTTGCTCTGATGACTAAAAAGACATACCAGGAGATAAGTGGCCTGATAATGAGGCTCTCTATCCCCTCTCTTTCTTACACCTGCTGAGACCTCTCCTGATCTGGGGGCTTTGTACTTGTTAATTCTGCCTGGAAAGCTCTTCTGGGACGTCTTTGCACGGATGACTCCTTGTTATTTGGCTGCAGCTCTGATGTCCCCTCCTCAGAGAGGAGGCCTTCCTTGACCTCTAATTATGTTGCCATTCTAGATTATCATGTGCTTACATTCAGGTGGGGAAAAAACTGACAATGAGTGAAGAAATGAGAAAAAGCATCTTTGATAGTAATGAGAATTGTAGGAAAAAAAATTGGCAGATGATATGAGAAATCATCTACTCACCATGTCTTTGGGGCCCTGTAGGATCTTTGTAAATATTAAATGAATGAACAGAACTCTAGCTTTGAAACCAAATATTCAAAAGTTTAGGCCTAAAACAAATATATTTTAAAATATGTTTTCTTCAACTACTTCTAGTGTGTTAGTAAATTACTTGGAAAACCTAAAATTATCAAATTATTTGCAGAAAGAAATTATTTGTGATCTTTAATATTATGTATAACCATATTTTTATTCATTGCAAATATTCTGGTATTGACTTAGTTTGGCACTGCTGATATTTCAAAAACAAAAGAAAGGCACTTTCTGCCTTTTTTTTCCCCAGAGTAACAGATATCTATAGGTAGTTCCTGACAGTTAAGAAAGCTTACTGTAAATTGTATCATAAAATCTTTAAAACCTTAGGCAAAACACTATAACCAATTGTTCTATTAATCTTTCTTCTACTTTTCAACTTTGCAGTTTATTACAGTATTATTTGAGGTCTAAGTTTATATTGATTTTTTCAATTGTATTAATCAAGTATATTACCAAGACGTTTTTATCAAACAATTATATTGCACAATGACTTTGATTCATGTTTAATTGTCAAACCTAATCATTAAAAATTGCATTTTGAATCTAAATACTTTTTACATAAGAAGTGCAGCTGGGTTTGTGAGTTCCTACACTGCTTGAAACACATGGTCTTGGTCTAGGAAGGACCAGATGTTTGAAATCCATATGTACATTGATGATGGATGTTAGAGCCTTTATTTGGATCTGATACTAATAGGATGACTTTTTTTTTTTTTTTTTGGTTGAGGTTATTAGGTTTATAAAAACATTGAATTTGATTCTAGTGCCCTTAAATCAATGACTCGAAAGAATTAGGTCACTTAGGCTTATATCAGTTTGTCAATGTTACATTGTATAGCCTATGTTAATTTATAAAGTGTTTTACAATCACATTTAAAAAGTCCTTAATGCGCATCCTGTAACTATTTGATATTAAAATAGATAATCCTGGGTGAAATAGAGGACCTAGCTATTTTGGACTCATAATACTTTATTATTATGTATGATTTTAACAAACTCTCTTCTCTTTTAGGTTTTGAAAACATTGAATTGACTCCTCTTGCTGCAATATGTGTGAAAATATATTCTGGAGGAAAAGAATTAAAGGTGGATGGCTCTATTCAAATTTCTCTTCCCCTTCTACATATCAGTGATGTTAGTGTGGGAGATCGCATACCTGCATGGACATTTGATATGAACACAGGTATGTGAGCTAGGTGAAGATATTCTCAATATTTTGAGTATTTTTTATTTGACTATATCTGAATATTTTCTTTTACAATTCAGTACAACTCCACTTTTCAGTAGCATTACAATTTATTTACTTTGTTAGTAATGAAAATTAGCCTCACTTTGATTAACATAATACAACTATAGGAAGAAATGATGGCAATACATATGTCAAAACAATAGCATTATTTATTCATTTCTTTGTCTTTTTTATAGTCCTAACATTTTGAGGAAGAAGTTAATTTTTTAAAAAGTTACTTCTCTTATAATTTTTTTTGATAGCCAGTATGAGCTTATCTAAAAGCTTAGTTAAGGCCATTGAGAAATGTATGCTAATTTCATGAAAATAAATAACACTGTGTTCTTAAGAGATTGTAAAAGCTATTATTTTTTAAAAAAAATCCTTAGGCACTAATTTTGTTTCCTGGGGTTTGCCTCCTAAATAGTAGCTGGAAATATATTTTCTGCCTCAGCTTCCCTTGGTTTTGTTCTTGTGTTCCCATGTAAATAAGATAGGTGTAGAAGTTGCCAAAAAAGAAAAAAAAAAAAGGAAACATAATCACTTCAGGCTGAAGTTCAGAGGTTCATGCCTTGGGTGAAACATGCTATAGAGCCCAGACAGAGTCATGGGGCTGGGTTTCTCTCCTCTTTTACTCTCATCTGTTTCCTGTGTGTTAGGTCCTTTCTAGGATAGGATTTCCCTTGAGCGTGACAAGAAGGCTGTAGGTGCTCTAGCTGTATAGTTAACCAGGTTGAAGGCCGGTGGAAAAGAGAGATTGCTTTCCTAGGAGGTATAGCACAAGGTTCACTGCAATTATAGAACAGAGTTTGCATGCCAGACTTGGAACCTGTCTTCGTGATCCACATGATCCACAAGTAAAATGTGCAGATTTATTTAGGCTTATGTCATATGTTGGAACTGGGAATGGAACCCCAAACTAATCACGTGGACTGAGACAAGGGAGACAAGGGAGATTTGGAATGGGATTTCACTGTAACTGGAAGGGTGGGTAGTGAGGCACACACACACACACACACACACACACACACACACACGTTCACTGTAGAAGATAAACAGTGATATACCTATGTTTTGAAGAAAGAATGGAAACTATATAAGCCTGATAAGTATGCTAGTATAAGTCATTAGATTGAGAGTCTTAAGATTTGGAGTCTAGTCCATTTCTAAGCTCTACCAGGTCATGTAATTTATTTGGGCCTCGGTGTCCTGATGTGTTAAATAAGAAAGTCATTTTAAAGCACTTTAAAGAAGAATATTTGCTATTTGAGTCCCGACTTCTGATTGTTCCTCCTAGAAAAGGCCTTTGTCTTTAATGTACCTTTCAGTTACAAAATTTTTGAATTTATTTATCACCTATGCAACACTTTGTGACTATTTAAGAATATTATTTATTCTTATTAAGAATATTATTTTCATATTGCAGATAATTCTCTACACCAAATCGATAAACCAAAATTCAAATATACACAAAACTTATAAATAGCTTTGCTATGCTATTTATAAATAAACTTCATAAAAGTATAGGTCTTACTGAATTCTTTATTCTATGGATGGCAAAATTTTATTAAATCAGACAGAACTTTTTGAAAGTTTAGAAGATGTATTTCTAAAAGAACAACACCCACATTATTAGAACAAAACAATAATTTTAAAAAGGCCATTAGATATATTCTGTAAGTGTTTAATCAGAATCTCAGAACAGATGACAAATAAGCACCTATTGATGAATTGGGATTTCACTACTCACATTCTTAAGGGATATTGTTTTGTGCATAATTTAAACATTATTTGGAGAGTCATGATTTTTCTAAGTATATCTTCATTCTTGGTTTATTGATAATGATCCATTTTGGTCATTCAAATTAATCTATTCTATATTATATGTTATAATATGATGTAACATATATTTTCCCATGATAATATATTGCCAGAGTTTTTATAATCTTTAAAAAAGTCCCATGAAGTATTCTACACATGGGTGTCTGCAGACTCCTATCAACTCTAAAATTATATAACTAATTAGTATTTTGTATTTATCTTCTTTTTAGGTGCTTGGGTAAATCATGGCCGGGGAATGGTCAAGGAACAAAACAATCACTTAATTTGGACTTATGAAGCACCACATTTAGGCTACTGGATAGCAGCTCCACTTCCAGGAGCTAGAGGTATTGTGAAAATGAAACAAAGTAATAAAAAAAAATCTAAACAGTCTTGCTGGAATTTATCTCAGCAGGCCTCAATTTTATTCTAAGTATTTCTACTTACTGGCTATGTGACTCAGTGAAAGGCACTTAATTTCTTTATCTCAGCTTTTTCTTTTTTCATATATATAAGAAAAGATGAAGCTTTGTGAACTCTAAAGTTCATAATAGCTATAATGTCTAAAGAATAAAGTTGGTTTAAATCAAGTATTCTTTTCTTAGTTTACTTTTTTTATGAATACATTTTTCCTAATTAGAGCCTTTGATTGTAAGCAACAGATTTTGGATAACTTAAACAAACAAACAAACAAACCCAAACAAACAAACAAAACTGTACTGTATTAGAAGGATATGGGTAGTTCACAGGATCAAGGAAGGTTGAAGAACTAGATGCTAAAAATCAAGAATCCCTGAAGCGCTAGAGGGCCTGGTTAGCAGGCCTGTTTCCTGTCTTTGCCAGGTTGCTGCTGTGTGTTGGTTGGCTCCAACCCTTTCCAATCTTTCCTCATACTCTTCATGATCATTCTAGAGATGAAGAATGATGATCCCATTGGCCCACCCTTAGGTCATGAGCACGCCCCTTTGGGCAGAGGGTGGAAAAGAGAGGAAGGACTCTTGAATAATACTGTCCTTAGACTGCTTCTTAAAGCAGGTAATACACTAGAGGAAATTTGGGTGACATTTTGATCAGATGGAGGCTGGAGGCTGGTGGGCAAAAAGCCATGAATTGTCTACTAGGGATGATGTATTCATGTTCTAGGAAAAATGAGCATCTCCTTTCCTTAGATTTAATGTGGTATACAATTATCTGGACAATTTACACAAAAACCCTACATTCATCTCAAGTTGCATAAATCTTCTTGTAAAAAGAAAATTCTTCTAATTTTCTGCTGTAGTTACACTGGCTACGCCATTGGTCTGCCACCATTTTCTGAACCTTTTGGGTGTCTGCTGGCATAAATTGAGTTTCTTCTTGGCTTTCCCTACCACCAGCTTTGCTAAGTCAACCTACTGGCCTTCAGCATTTTGTTGCTGTTGTCTGCTATCTTGTTCTCCTTTATCTTTGAAGGCTTTTGAATTTACAGAATAAAACAAAACTTTTAGTGACGTTTTAGTGAAGATTTGAGAGGCAGAGATGAATGGACACATATCATTCCTCCATGTTCAACCATGTGTCAGAGATGATTCTTTTTGGCTTATCAAGTGTTTTGGCTCCCAGTTGAGGGGCAGCTGCTAACTGGCCACTTCATACTGGCCACTTCATACTGGTTTAGGAATGGTCCCAATACTCACCCTGATCCAGGACAGGAATGACATTTTACACTTGTTTCTCTGCAGCATTTGATCACCTAACTTTATTACGACTGTCTATTATTTTGAAGGCTCTCAAGTTTTTAAAAGTTTTGTTACAATCTAGTTTGATTTTTATTTTCATTCTTTGTTAGAAAGGTTTTTTTTAAAAAAAAAATTTTTTTTGAGACAGTTTTACTATGTCATCTGCCTAGGCTGGCCCAAACTCTGGGTCCTCCCTCCTCAGCCTCCCAAGTTAGCTGGATTGTGTGCCTATAGCAACATATGAATTTTAAACCTTGTGAGATAACAAGACTTTTTTTCAGTAGAGTCAAAATTGAGTATTTCAATAGAAAGAATATGAACCCTTAGCCATATACGATCAAGAGGAATGTTCTTTTTGTTTCTGTTTGAACTTAGTGCTTATGGAATTATTTATTCAGAAACCAGAGGGTGGTTATTTTTGCTCTTTATAATGCATAATCTCATGCAGTCTTGCCAGCCGTCTGGCCTTATTACATTCTAGATTTGTAACTATCGTGAAATATTGATGAAAAAGAGCAGTTAATATTTTATTTAATACTTCAGCTAAACTAAATCCAAGTTATTTCATTTTTAATAAAAAATAACCTAAGGAACATTTGAGTTTTATAGAGAAAGGTATTTCCACTAAAAATATATCCCAAACAACCAAATTATATAAAATGGCTTATGAGTTACACAAACCAAAGTAATTTTCTAAAACAGGTAGATGTTCTAGTCCCGCTTATCTGTTGGAAAAGATGTTGTGTGGACGAGTATTAAAGTCTGAAATTCTTGTTTAGTTTGCACTAGAGACCTTCTAGTGATGTTTTTGAAAAATCTATTCTGTAAGGGTATCACAGTCAAACGAACCCTATATTAGAAGTATGGTTAACTTGATAATCATAGCTCTGGCTTTGCCCATAATTAACTAGTTGAGCTTGGAATAGGTACTTAACCATCTGAGTTTTAATTTTCTAGTTTCTAAATTTGGGGAAGTGGATATCATGTTAGACAAACAAAATACTGCAGACTGGGTGGCTTAAACAACAGAAATTTATGGAGGTTTCCTAGTCCCAGATCAAGGTGCTGCCAGTATTGGTGAGGCCTCTTCCTGGCTTCTAGATGGTCTCCTACTAAGATGGCCTCACATGGCCTTTCCACACACCAACCATTTCTCAGTGGACACCATATAATTCAATTCTGTTCTGACTCTCTGCCTGGAGTTAGCATCATGCCTCACAGGTTGAGAGCTCAGTCCTGCAAGATGCCCTCTTTTGGATGCCCATTGCAATTAGTAAGCCCCCAGGTTACCCATACTGTCTTACTAGGCTTCAAATTGGGGGTTTCCACAACCCCCTCCTTAGGTTTGATGATTTGTTATGATGGCTCACAGAACTCAGGGGAATACTTACATGTATAGGATGTACTCATAGTAAAGTAAGTGATAAGGATACAGATAAACAGCTAGATGAAGTACACAGACCCAGGTCTGTGAGGGTCCTGAGTACAGAAGCTTTTGTCCCCATAGAGTTGGGGTGCATGGATGTATTCACCAATTTGGAAACTTTCCAAACTCTACACTTTATGAATTTTTATGAAGGCATCTTCACATAGCCATAATCAATTATTAACTTAAGCTCTAGCCATATTCTTCCCTGGAGGATGGGGCTGAAAGCTCCAAGTTTCTAATCCTAGCTTGGTTTGGCTACCAGCCCCCATCCAGGACCCTGCAAAGAGTTGCCTCATTAGGACAAGAGATGTTCCTATCACCCAGGAAATTCCAAGGGATTTAGGAGCTCTGTGCTAGGAACTAGGGCCTAGACCAAATACACACACATATATACACATATATAAAATTATGTGTCCCTAAACATTTAAGCAAATATTACTGTAAAAATTGGCCCTATAACCAGCTAGTTAGTATTTGGTTTGCTGGAGCTACTGTAGTTATAATGTGGCTAATAATATACTAAGTTTGTTTTTTAAATCTTAAATAGCATTCTAGAATTCCTTGGAAAAATTGCTAAGTACAAGAGATTAAAAGGATTTTTCAGATTGCTATAGGAAAGTAGGTGGCTGAGTAGAGTTTAATAAACAAGTGTTTACTAATATGTTTTAAATTTGCATTTCTAAATATATTTGAATGACAAGATATTGTGACTTTCTATCCTTCTGGCCTCTTCTAGCATGCATACACGCACACAAGTACACACACAGATGCATACTTTTTTGCTACTGTCATACATAATAGGATATAAGGCAAACCCAAGAGGTCAACCTTCTATTTGCAAATGTAAGTTCTATTGGATTCCTGTGGAGTGAAATCATTTGTGTTACTCCATTGTGGAAACATATACTCATATGCACTCAGTTAAAGTCAAACTTCACTCTGTTGCAGCTTCTGATCCTGCATAAGAATCTGCAGATAGGATTAAGTGACTCCCATTTCTTTATTGTTTGAAGAAATTTCATATTGTGCAGCACTATACTGTTTGCCTGTTAGGTAAACACTTTATTATCAGTTGCCATTTGTGAAACTGTGGCTAATACCAGAGTGCTTGTTCTTATAGAACCTTGACGCTTTGTTCAACAACAACAATTGTGTGGCATATCTAACACTCACTGAGTACCTGTCATAAGCCTAGCACAGTTCTAAGTACTTCAGCAACCCACATGGGTTAGGCATGACTGTATTATCACCACTCTGCATGAGGGAAGTGAGATTCCAAGAAATGAAACTTGCCCAAGACCACATAAAAATAAAAGGGGAAGCTAGGACACCAACTCAAGACACTTTGGCTTAAAAGTCTATATGTGCCGGGCTCGGTGGCTCAGCCTGTAATCCCCTGCCTTTGGGAGGCTGAGGTGAGTGGATTGCCTGAGCCCACGGGTTCGAGACCCGCCTGGGCAGCGAGACCTCATCTCTACAATAAATCAAAAAATCAACCGGGTGTGGTAGCGCATGCCTGTAATTCCGGCTACTTGGAAGGCTGAGGCGGAAGGATCGCCGGAGCCCAGCAGGTTGAGGCTGCGGTGGCCGGGAGCGGCCACTGCACTCCAGTTTGGGTGACAGAGTGAGACTCCAACTCAAAAAAAAAAAAAAAAAAGTCTATATGCATTACCACATTGCTGCTTCTCCAAATGTTTCCATATTATCATTACTTTTATAAAATTAGATAGTACACCATTTGAAGGATAGACTTAAAGACCTCATGGTTCCTCAGTTTCTTCATGTCCTTGGTACGTTTGGGAATCTCATTCTGGACATTTCTGTTGGAAGAGATTATTGGAAAACTAATCCCACTACTCACTTTTCTTCTCCTATCACTCTGAATACATATTAGAATCTAGTTGATACTGACAAGTAGACTTGTTATATGCTTTTTGAGCAAAATGAACTTTTAGCAACTTTCCATGCATTAGCTGCCTAATAGCATTCATTTTAATGCAGAATCTGAATAGCCTACCTGACCATCCTAGCGTATTAGGCATCTTTCACTGCAGTGATGCTGATCACAGCAGCATTTGTGGATGTTTATTCTCTCCTAACAGGAGGATCGTGGGTCACTTGTACCTCTCCTGGGCTTGGCTTGCCCAGGATCATGGTGTTGTCTTATTCTAGATCCCAGGTGGAAAGAGTTGTACCTATTTATCCTTAAAGTCCCAGACCTTTTGTATTCTCTCTATTCTTTTACCTTCCTGATTGCTTTCATAAATTCTTCTTTGAGTTTATCTTTAAAATTTCTTTTTTAAAGGTTAAATATGTGGATGAAAAATAAATGCAACTGATAATCAACATTCACTAGCCACATTCTAGCTCTAAACCTCTTTGCACAAAACTCAAATTAGTTAGACATATTTTCTCCCAATTTGGCCAATTTATTTTGCTACTTGGGTCACCGTTTTTACTGCCTCTTGAAACAATTTTATTACTGCTTGCTGCCTGGCCTGGAAACCAGTGTCACATGTTTTAGGTTTTTGTTATAGCAGCATCTCAGCCTCTAGATACCAATTTCTGTAAAAGTCAGCCATTGATTCAGTAAAAACTCTACTATCTCATTGCCTAAAAATATCAAACACTTATTTACTACTTACATTTCATGAGTGTTTTGGGTTGACTGCTGTATTATTAGGCTTGGCCTGGTTCAGTTCAACAGATCTTTTCATTCTAGGCCCCAGGTTGAAGGAATAGTGACTCTTTGAGATACACTATTCACATATTAGAAGACCTTAGCAAGGGGGCAGAACCTCAATGCAACCTCATTTAAAGTGCTCTTATTTTGTTGGTCAAAGCAAATCAGTGGATGAAACACAGAGAGTAGGGAAAGTATATTTCACCCACAGGGAAGTCTGTCACGGGAGAGAGTCAACAAATAATGGTGTGTACACACATTCAATCTGCCTTACCTAGGATTTGGCACAGTTTCAAATTTGTTCTAAAGTAACATATTTTCTCTTTGTTTATATTGGACCACGTAGGTTCAGGTATAAATGAAGATTCCAAGGATATAACTGCCTATCACACAGTGTTTCTTACAGCCATATTAGGAGGAACAATAGTCATTGTCATTGGATTTTTTGCTGTACTACTTTGTTATTGCAGGTAAGAACATTATTAATCAACGTGTATAAACAAAACTATCAAATTACCATATTATTTTAGTATGTTCTGTGCAAGATCATCGTTTATTTATAGAAATAAAATTTTTAATATTTGAAATACGTAGATTAAATATAAAAACATATTCTAACAGCACTTCATGTGTGATGTGCATATTCTAGGGTGATTTTTTTTAAATGCACCATTTTTATTGTAACTTCTAAGTATGTTTTGTTTTCTACTTTAGGGGTAAGTGTGGTACTACACAGAAAAGAGAAAGAAATATCACTAAACTTGAAGTCCTCAAGAGAGACCAGACAACTTCAACAACACACATAAATCATATCAGTTCAGTCAAAGTTGCATTAAAATCTGAGGACAAATCACAGTTGTTCAATGCTAAAAACTCCTCATACAGCCCTCAGAAAAAAGAACCATCAAAGGCAGAAGCAGAAGAAAGAGTTTCCATGGTAAAAACTCGGGACAATTTTAAAATCTACAATGAAGATGTTTCATTTCTATCAGTCAATCAAAATAATTACTCAAGAAACCCAACACAGTCTTTGGATCCCAGTGTAGGGTCCAAACAACCTAAGCATGTGAACAACAACCTATCTTCATCTTTAGGTGATGCTCAAGAGGAAAAGAGGTATCTCACAGGGAACGATGAAGTGTATGGGCGTTCCCACATTCCTGAGCAGCTGATGCATATCTACAGCCAGCCCATCGCCATCCTTCAAACATCTGACCTTTTCTCTACTCAAGAGCAGTTACATTCTGCTAAGTCAGCTACACTGCCAAGAAAGGGACAGTTAGTCTATGGCCAATTGATGGAACCAGTGAGCAGAGAGAACTTTACACAGACGTTGCCCAAAATGCCAGTGCATTCTCACACACAGCCCTCAGATGCCAGGGAAGAGGATATCATTCTTGAAGGTCAACAGAGCTTGCCATCCCAGACTTCAGATTGGAGCCGATATTCCAGCAGTTTACTGGAATCTGTCTCTGTTCCTGGAACGCTAAATGAGGCCGTTGTAATGACTCCGTTTTCATCAGAGCTTCAAGGAATTTCAGAACAGACCCTCTTGGAGCTGTCCAAAGGAAAGCCCTCTCCCCATCCCAGAGCCTGGTTCGTATCACTTGATGGCAAGCCAGTCGCGCAAGTGAGGCACTCCTTTATAGACCTGAAAAAGGGCAAGAGAACCCAGAGCAATGACACAAGTCTGGACTCTGGGGTGGATATGAATGAACATCACTTGAGTAGAAAGCTTGAGAGGGAGAAGACGTTCATCAAAAGCATGCATCAGCCCAAGATCCTTTACTTGGAAGATTTAGACCTGAGCAGCAGTGAGAGTGGAACCACTGTCTGCTCCCCTGAGGACCCTGCTTTAAGGCATATCCTGGATGGAGGGAGTGGAGTTATCATGGAGCATCCTGGGGAGGAGTCCCCAGGAAAGAAAAGCACTGTTGAAGATTTTGAAGCCAACACCTCCCCCACCAAGAAAAGGGGCAGACCGCCACTAGCCAAAAGAGATAGCAAGACTAATATCTGGAAGAAGCGAGAGGAACGTCCACTGCTTCCCATCAATTAACTCCCAGGGTGGTTGTGTGTCTGCTGTCTCGTGCTGTTTCTTCTTGCTTCTTGTTGTAAATTGCAGTATGAACTTAGGAAGTAGAGACTGAGCAATCTTATGGTCCTGGGACATATCTCAAGCAGAGTAAATAGTAAGATGGTAATTTAGTCATCAGAGAGAAAGGTACCTTGGAATGTTTTTTCTGGCCCATTCTTTTATTTTTAGGTGACAAATTTGAAAGTATCCAAGTTTTCAAATTATAAAATAGCATTAAGATGTTAGTTATCTGACAATGTTGCTCAGTCAACCAGTTTGGCCCTGACTCTTTTAAGAATAACATAGTGAAATGTGTGTCCCTAAAGTTGCTTCCAAAAATGTTGCCTCAGCCTTGATAGAACACTTAGAAATTAAACTGTCTTCTTCAGGCATCATGTTCTTGTGAAATGTTCCTACTAAGTCCTTCTCTGCCACTACTTGAAAATAACCAGATAAGTGATCTGGACTGTGGTTATTCTAGAGTCTAAAGACCAAACAGTTTCTTTTTTGAGGCAAATAGCATGTGTATTATATTATCCCCAAAGTAAATCCTACATTTACATGAGATGGGCAAAAAGCTACTTGGTCGTTAGAGAGGGAAACACGAGCTCTTTGGTTGTTTTGGATATAACTTCACAGAATAAATAAGGCATTAATTTGTTATTTAGAAATTTGAGAAATGTTTTAATGAATTCTCTGACACTTATTTTTAAATTATAAATTTCATTTTTTTCCTTCCCCTCAACCATGAGGCCAGCTTAGCTACCAAGGAAAATTTCACTGATACTTGTAGGTTAAATCAGTTTTAATATATTTCTTCCATATGAAAAACCCAAATTTAGTCAATTAAAGGCTATCAGATTTTTACAAAAAATCTATGTGAAAATTTCTTTGTATACAAAAAATTAATCAAATATGTGGAGATAAAATAAATATTTTGATTTTTTTCTGAAATGTTGATGAGCACAAAAAGAAATGTCATTTTTCTGAGGTTAAAAATTACCTTCAGGTTACTAGTTGATTATCCAGATGTCAACTTTCATAGAAAATGTTTGAGGAAAAGAATTTCAAAGAAGAGTTTTTCCTTAAGTCACTTATAGCCTTTGCTACAATTTTTCCAATTCTGTAAGTAACATATCCGTATTATTTCCATCATAGCAAAGAGTTAAGTGTGAACACATTCAATAGCTGTTTATAACTCTGAATTATCATTCATATGTCCTAAAAATAAAAGCTCATTGTTAGTTAAAATAAACTCATTCCACTTTTCTTAATTTCCATAAAGGCAAATGTCTGAAGCGCCTTTCCTTGTGGGGAAAATGAAACTAAATTGGTTTTTCATCCCCTACTATTCAACATGGGAGCAACACAGAGACCCAAACCACATAAACAAGTTCACAGAACCAAAATGGCCACATTAGTTTTGGCAAAATGGTAGATAGATATATAAGGAAAGACAACAGTTTTCCCCTTCAAGATAGCGATCTTCAGCCAGTTTTTCCTATAACCAATTTTTTCCTGAAACATCTGACCTGTCATAACTCTCCCACCTTTCTGTGTTAACCCCCAAAATGTGAAGACTTAGGCAAATGTTTGCTATATATTACCCCACTCCATAGAAGAGATAAACGTTTTGAGTAATACATAGGCTTGCTTTTTTTTTTTTTTTTTTAAATTAGTGATGAGGTCCACAACAATAGAGGAGACTTCTTAATCTTATACTGAATGATACATCAAAAGCAGCATGAATGAAAATGATTTGGAAAAGGTTAAAAGATAGTGCTCTGCGGAAGTGCCTTTGATATAGATTTGCATTATTAGAAGGATATAATGACATGTTTCTTAAGTGTGCATTTTATTTCTGTTAGCCAAATTAAACAGATGTGCAGTTCTATTAAAAATATAGACCTAGTGTTTCATGTTGGAACAATGAATTTTGCATGGATGTAGTATTTCTCTCTTCCTTTTGTTTATCCTTTTTAAAATCCAGTATAGATAAATTGTTTATGTTGGAATGAGGTTAGAAACTATAGCAAAATGTTGCACCTCCTCAATATTTTAAGTGTATATTTTCCCCATCTTTAAATAAAATTATTTCATCTTTCAGCTTGGTAGTGAAAAACACATTTTGATAAAAGGAAGGGTATGCCATCAGGTGTGCCACTTATTGTACTCATTTTTTGTGTGTAAGGGAAATGAGATGATGTATCCCAAGGGATTTTCTAGAATTACTTGTTTGGTTTCAGAGTAAAACCTTATTTATTTTATTTTTTACACTGCACATGCTGTTCTCAATTGGGAATTAATTATCGGCAATTTATCTTTTCTAATGATCAAAAGAGTGTGACTTCTTATGTGTGAGTAGTTCACAAATTTCTTATAAAAAAGCTGAAGCCATCTACTTTTTCTTAATCCAAGTAATAATAAACCAACAAGGTTCACAACTTTCTTAAATTTTTGAATTGAAAGCCAAACACAATTTTTTTGCAAATATAAACCTGGGTAATTTTGGTCACAAATTGTTAACATTTGTGGATCCTTTATATATGCCTTTGGATATACCTTAAAGACAAAACTATCTCTCAATTAATTGATGGATTCATTTACTAAAGCACAGCTGTATGTATTTTTAGATACATATTATGACCTTGAGACTTTATAAAATCAATTTTTATGACTTTATGCAGTTGTATAAGGTGACACCCTTTTATAATACATAGTATATGACGAAGATCACAAATGTTGAGGAATAAAAGCACTTCTTTGCTTTGGCAATCATTTTCGGATCACTTTCTGTGTGTCTGAATCCTCTGGTATCAATACATATTATAGGGTTTTAGAGATCTGTGGGTCAAATCTTGTCCCTCAAAACTTCCCAGAAAGATAAAGTTCCAAGTTACAATTCACTTATAAGGTATGAGTTACTCATTTCCCCAGGCCAGCATGGTAAAGGAATTCAACTGTATTAATTTACTTCAGATCTAGAGTTAACATTTTATCCTCTTGTTTCCAAGTGTTTCTATTTTTTTGTATTCTTTCAGAGAAATCTCATATTTCAGTGTATTTATTGCCATCACTACTATATTTACTGCTAAAAACTGTAACATTCTGAAGGTTTGTAAAATGTTAAATATAGTTCATTAAAAATAATAAAATAAATCTAAAATGTACTTGCTGCATTGTTTAATCTTGCATAAACTACACAATATTCCTACCTAAATTGTCATTTTATATAGTATTCAATTACTATTACTTTTTATTAACTACACTTCCTGGAGTAAAATAAACCCTTGTTTTATAATGAACTTGATTATCTTTATATTTTATTTCTACAAAATTTACATTTTTACTGTTATTGCTGAGTGTAGACAAATTGTTTTCCATCCAATGAGGAGACTTATTAAGATAATCTGATAGAATGTAAAAAATTATAATACAATTGCCAAACACCTAAGTGAGAAAATAAACATGATCTCCTCTGCTTCCTTTTATAAGTCTTTAGACTTTAAACTTGAGTCTGAATGATAGCACAAACAAGGTGTTTGTTTACATTTAGAGTGCAGATCTCCAAGAACGTTTACTTGGAGTATGAACAGTATTTAAATTCAGGAAGTTTGTGTTTGGAAGCTATAGAATACTTTTAAGACTCATCCTAGCTGCCTAAATGTCTAAAATCGAAGTGTTTTTAGACATTTCCTATAACTTATAAATTAATATGGTACTAGAAATGGTTCTAATGGGAATTGGGCTCTGAAACCACCCACAAATACAGCAGAGATTATGACCTCCAAGACTGGCATTGTGATAGAGATTTCCACCTGGAGCCCTTCATGTGCCAGCCAGGCCATGGCTGTATTTGCTATGGGGTCTGCTCTCCATCTAGAAAAGTCTTAGAGTTTTAAAAGAAATGATAAGCCCCTGGTAGAGTCACATGGAATCCAAATTCACATGGAATTGGCTTGTGACAAAACATAAATCACAAACAGTTGCCAAACAGATGACGTTCATGAGCTGGTCATCACATTCTCATCTCAGAAGGGAAACAAACATGGCAAGACTGAGCTGTAAGAACTGTAGAAAAGGTAGTTGGAAGGAGGTAACTGATATTTTAATCAGTTTATCAAAAGTGATTCACCTATCAGTACTTATAATCCAGGTCCTTTTCCTTGAACTACATATTGGAAAAAATGTTTACACCACAGTGTTGCCTTATCTAGACTCCTTGAAATCATCATTTGGTGTTCTTTTTGTAGGTGGATTTCTTGACTGGTGAATACAGTGAGAGAGCTTTATTCCATCAGTCAACTTTCTCTAAATCAATGAAGCCCAATTTCTTCTTTAAACGCTGCCCTAGTGTCTTAGATTTGAATTGTTTGCTTCATTGAGGTATTCTTTTTTAACTGGTTTTCTTTTTATTTTGAGCCTCAGTTCATTTTGGGACTACAGTCTTACATTTATGAAATTAAGTTTGGTTTTTTAAAATAAAAACATTTTCAGAGTTTGACTAGAAAAAACAGTTTAGAAATTAACCATAGTTTATAATGTTAAATGCCAAAAAGTTAATAAACTCAATTACAAACGATGAAAAAACATTTCCATCAAATATATATGGCATATTTCTTAGGAAAAAAAACCACAATAACTATTTTCTTTCCAAAATAGCTAAGCTTAAAGATCACGTGTTTTGCAACCTGTGAAATTTGTTAAAACATCATAACACTTTTCTCAGCTTTGTTTACTATAGTAGATGAATACCTGTTTGCTTGCTGTAGTAGATGAATTCCTATTTCTGTTGGGAATGTTCACATGTTGAGAAGTATATGCTATATATTTTTTCCTAGGTGGCAAGACCTTTCTTTGATGAACCCTATATTTCCTGGTTTTCAAGTTTACTTGCTGTTGTGAATAATATTCCACATTACTGTAGGGATACCACAATTTTCCATATGAATTTATCTTTTATTTTCTTTTGTTCTTCATGCTTACTGGGGGTTTTATAATTCATATGTTGACTGGTTCTAATCCTTGTAGACCTTATTAAAACACTAGACTAACTGCAGATACTCTGATTAAAAGCAAATTAGATAATTACATTCCCAGGAGTCTCTGGTCTTATTATACATGAACAGGTTAGATTAAAACCTTTTGTAAATCCTGTACTAAAAAGCAAACTGTGGCTATTAAGCAATGTGGAATAAACACCTCAATTTTTAATTTATATATTTCAGTTTAGAAAATATAAATTTTTTACACAGAAAGTACTTAAAATTAAAAAATTATTCAACTTAAGTTTATATCGAATATCCAGAATTTTGTAATAAATGCTATTTTGAAACCCTGATTTCTAACTTAGATAACTTCTGAAAGGTGTGTGTTCATTAAGTACAGAAAAAGTTTTATTATAACATTATAAATAGTTTTTCATTTAAAAATTAGTTTATTTCTGTTTTCTAAAAAATGAGTTGCTGTCATCATCCCATAGATTATTTAACAAAACACTACTAATATGAATACTGACCATTTAAGAGGATGTTAATGACAAGTAGATGAGTTTTTTATTAGGGAATTTACCAATCATTCCTAGGGAGTGTTGACACTTATACAAAGAAGAAGAAAGCATACTTCTCTGATCAGGTTTTTTCATGATGTGTAAATAAAACAGCAGGAAAAGGACTTTGGAAGTGAATTTTATGCTATCAATCTTTAACACATACGTGCTTTCTGAAACCCTGATTTCTCAAAAAGAAATGCTGTTCTATTATTTTCTTTTTCCATGTTGGGGCGAAGGAACAAGCTGTAATGAATTAGTTACAAGAGAATTGTACTTGTTCTTGATATTTCTTCCTGGTTTTTTTAGAACTCAAGGTAAGATTTAAAACTATTAAAATTAACCTTAGTAAAACAACTTTACTGTGAACCAGAGAATTTCTAAAATTCCATCTGTCGCAAGATAGACTCCTCAATTCACTTCTAAATAAAGTGTGTTTATTAATTATGTACTGCCTTATTGCATGTACTAAATTGTTATGCTGATATTTTGCTTACATTTGTTTTCTGAAATAATAAAATCCTATGGATAGAAACCGTGCTTTATAATCACCCTAATTCCCAATAATAACTTTGTTATAGTATACACTCAATAAATCTTGATTAATGGAGTTATGAATTGAACGATAATGAATTTTGTTCAATTGAAATGATCTGTTTTGTTGAAGAAGTAGGGAGAATGATGTCAGCTAGATGGTAAAATAGAAGCTTCTTTGCTTGTATCTTACCACTGCAATAATACTTTAGACAAAAGTGACTTTGTGGGAATTTTTGATCCAGAAAGGAGGTTGTGAAAACCTGGTGAAGCTCAAGACCTAGGAAGGTCATTTTGAGAGGGCAGAACTGTACCCAGGAGGCAAGCCCACAGACTATAGTTCCACTCCTGACCTAGAAATGTTCCTGTCCCTCAGTTGACTAGGCTACAGTCATGTTAGGCATTGATCCTGCTACCAGAACCACCCACCAAGGAAGCCAGGAGGAGTCATGCCCTTCTTGTGCCTTGGATGACAGGCCTGCCAACTTTGATCCTGGATGTGGACCCTAAAATGGTGATGAGTCTTGTCTCCGGCCTTCTCAGTGGCAGACTGGGAATAGTCCCATCCCCAGTATGACACCCAAAGAGAGACATGCTTTTCTGAGTTCCTAGAGGCAGGTCTGCAAACCTTGGTTTCAGCTGTGAAATCTGAAGAAGCCCAGTGATTTGGTTTTAGCCCCTCTCATATATGGACTTGGGCTCATGCTGTCTGTCCAGGGACCTACTCAGTGATCCTCCATTCAAGGATCCACAGGAAGCCACACCCATCTGTGCATCTGATGACAGGGCTGTTGTCTGAGGGCCCTGAAGCAGAGCCTCATCCCAGTACCAGCCCTTACTGACTAAGGTACTGAGGGGTACGTAATTCACCTAGTGGCCTAATTCACCTAAGATCCATACCACTAGAGTTTCTGGTAACAGGCCCACCAACTGTGGACCCAGCAGCAGTCACGTGACCTCATTCCAATTCCATTTGGCCACCATTCTGGAGGCAATCCCCTCAGCCTGAGTACCGAACAGGAGAAGGCCTTTTTTTTTTGACAAAACTGGGCAGTAAAGACTGGAAGAGTTGTTTGTTCCTTCAATGTATGGATACCAATGCAAGGCTGCACAGATAAGAATCAAGTAAACATTGTACTGCCAAGGAAAACTAAGGAAGTTCTAGTAACCAATCCTAAAGATAAAGAGATCTACAAATTGCTTGAAAAATAATTTAAAATAATAATCTTAAGGTTCAATGAGAAGCTACAAAATATAAATGAAATTAGGAGAAAAATGCATGAAGAAAATGAGGTTTAATAAAGATTAGACTGTAAAAACAAATTCTAGAACTAAAGAATATAATGACAAATGAAACATTCAATAGAGAGCTCCAATTTCAGACTCACTGATGCAGAAAAAAGAAACTCAAAGACAGGCCATTTGAAATCCAACTAGAGGAACAAAAGCAAAAAAAAAAAAAAAAATTTAAAAGAGTAAAGGAAGCATAAGGAAACTATGGGGCACCATCAAGTGTACAAATATATGAATTATGAAAGTTCCAGAAGAAAAAAAGGAGAAAGGGGACAGTAAGCTTATTTAAATACTAGCTGAAAACGTTCCAAATATTAGGAAGGATATAGACATTCAGATTAATGGAGCTCAAAGGACCCTAAGGAAGACTGACTCAATAATACCCTGAGACATATTATAATCAAATTGTTAAAAATCAAAGAGTATCTTGACAGCAACAAGAGAAAAGTGACTTATTACATATAAGGGACACTTCATAAGGCTATCAGTAGACTTCTCAACAAAAACCTTGCAAACCAGGAGGAAGTAACATGGCTTAGGTGCTGGGAAAAAAACTGTCAAAGAATATTATACACAGCAAAGCTATCCTTCAGAAATGAAGGATAAATAAAGACATTCCCAGACAAAAAAAAAAACTGAGAGTTCATCACCATTAGACTTGCCTTACAAGAAAAAATAGAGTTATTTTAGATGAAACAAAAGGATGTCAAATATCAGCATGATAATATATGAAAGAACAGATGATCCTCAACTTACAAGAGGATTGCATCTTGATAAACCCATCAAGTCAAAAAA